CAGCTTCTCTGTGCAGGGTAGGGGCAGCTGTGACATCCTCCGGTCTCCACAGGAAGCCAGGAGTTGTAACAGTAGAGGTGACCATGCTGGGTGCAAGCACCCGCCTTGCCCTCCTGTAGTTCCAGCAGGAAAAGCCACAGGCAGCCGAGTGTCTCTGATCAATAGTAGGATAAGCTTTCTCCACCCTGTTGCAGCCACCTCAGTGAAAGACACATTGCTTTTCTTTCTGTTGTCATTGTTTTGAGACAGTCACCTTGTGTAGTTCAGTGGCTGGCCTTGAACTCACTATGTAACCCAGGCTAACCAGGTGATCCTCCTGCCTCAGCCTCCCAAGTGCTAGAATTACAGGCATGCCCCACCCACCCAGCTTGCATCACTCTTTAAAGGAAAATTCAACACACACACTTCACTTATAAAATGACATTTGTTGGCTTTCTATATTTTTCTATGCTTGCACTATGGCATTTGAGCCATTTCATGTAGACAGACATTTTTGCTTTTTGCCTCTATATGAACACTCAGGGTTTTACACAACTATATGCACTCCATTTTACTTCATTGCATAACAACCCACCCTAACTGTTTTCTCCTGTTCTACATTTTTCCTTCGTCAGGGCAGCCTTAGGCAACTGGATCATGGGTTGGATGTTTAATTGTTCCTGATGTCTGTGGCCTTGCCAATGTTTGTGGAACTGCTGGCCTCCTGCAGCCTTGCTGTATCGAATAATCCTAAGTGAGGTTACCAGACAGACTGGAGTCTGTGGGATGGGCCAGGCGGGCCCAGATGACACCTCCCTTGCCATGTGGCCAGAGCGACAGTCTCAGATCTCGCCAGGGTCAGCCAGGCCTGAGTCTCTGGCTCCCTGGCTGTGTCTCCTTCCCAGGAGTCTGTCTCCCTTGCAGCTCCCTCTGGTCCCTTTTCTGACCAATGCCCCAGGGAACATCCCATTTTCTAAAATTGTGGGATTTTTCAAATGAATGTATACAGAGGTTCCAAAGATGGCATAACAAGTGCCTGGCTTCAAAATCTTGCCTCTCTATGGCAAGCATATCTGCACATGCCACCTGCTTTGAAGAAAGCCTGGGTACTTGGGATTTCACTCCTAAACTCAATGCCATTATCATGCCTGAAAAGTGAGCAGTAAATCCTTAAGTCATGCACCCCCAGCAGGGTCCCTAGGTGTCTCATAAATGTTTGCCAGGCTCAGGAAGCAGAGAGGCTTCAGATGGTCCTTGGCCACTGTTCTTCTGGTCTGTTAAGTAAAAACTCAACAGGCTCCACCCACCCTGTTTTCCCAGAGTTATTGGTCAGAGACCTGGGCCCTGGACCTGCAAGCTGCACATGGGTCTCTCCAGCTTCCCTGGACTTGCTGATTGCACCCGCGCGGTGTCATTTCACTGCTGGCCCGGCTGTGCCTGTTGTGTTTGGAATCCCGAGGTTAAGCTCAGGTGGGAAGCCGGTTCCCATTGAGTCCTGACCTGTGTGCTTTCTCACAGCCCATCCACCCTCATGGTCCTGAGTTCCCTGGGGTTATAAAAGTTCCCCTGCTAGGCATCCCAGGGCCTTCCTGTGCCAGACACTTGCCACTTGGGACCACAACGCTGTTCACACAGTGACCACGCTGGCCCCACCCTGTACCATCTCTCAGGCTGGGCTGACTCTACCATCCAAAGGACCTGAGGGGTGGTGTGAGCTCCTGCGTTTGTTCACTGTCATTTTGAGCCACAGGGTTGGAACACATTTAGTGAGCATTTTATTCATTGTTGTTTTATGTGCACTGATAGACAAGTTGCTTCCTCTCCCCCTGGCAGGGGAGCCTTTTCGGATGGCGCCTTAGTTTTTTTTAATAGGCTCCCGGGAGGTTTTTGATGGCCTGCCTCCCTTTCCGGTGTAGTGTCCCAGGCTCTTCTTATACATTTTCTGTTCTTTCTAACAAGAAATGGTGTTAGGTACAAAAACCCAAGGACCAGCTGTGCAGATTGCCATTCTGTGCATTAAGAAATACTTTCCTTTTTTTTCTCCTTTTTTCCTTTAATTTTATTGGTACATTTTAGGTATACAATATGATAACATTCACCATTGGGAATTTGTACCTGTACATGATGTATCTTGGTTCTTATTTTTTCCCCATTCCCCTGCCCTCCCTTCAACCCCTCCACCCCTGCCTATTTACAAAGACTTTATTTCCATTTTTTCCTTTCCTAGTATTTATTCCTTTCCCTTCTTTCCTTTCCCTTACCCATCCTATTTCCCCTTCCCCTTTGGACCTTTTCTTCCTATTTCACATTATCTATTGTACATTTTGATCCTTATTTACACTTTCAGTTTTTCACACCAAAGAAACTATTCAGTATTTACACATGTGTGTCCTATACTTCCCTTTTTATGAGGATGGAATCAAAAGTTTATATTGATATTCCAGCTTAGTGATACAGGGCTTCACCCGAACATTTTAATTTTCTCTAACATTAAAAAAAAAAATCTTGCTTTCCAGTGGCATTAACTAATTTGCTTTGTCTTTAGCTATCTATATTTTGGAGAAACCTACAATTTTATGTTGCACTTAATTTTGTGTTAGGTTATGCCTCCATTCTGGATATTAATCAGATTACTACATTTTAAAGCCATTTGATACAACTCCTCTCGGTGAAATTACACCACCTACACATTAAGCTCATTTGTTTCACTCATTTGAAGTCAATGTTTCTCAATTTGTAGGCACTGACTTAAAAAGTTTTTTTTTAATTTGAGTTTTAAAATTCTGTAAGAGTCCAAGTCACATCTACCCACCCAGGGGATGGGCTCTGAGAAGCCCAACTCCCCGGATTCCCATGCCCTGCCCCACCCTGCCACATAGGTAACTATATGTGTTGTCCCTGCTCATTCTATTGTTTGTTTCCTTTCAGTCTAAACAAACACACATGGGTACAAACACAGCCTTGGCCCTCCTGGAATAAGTGGCTGATGTGCTGTGCCTAGGTCTCCCCACGTCCTGGGAATCGGGTCCTGGAAGGAATGGAGCTGAAGAGTAGTCCACCACAAGGAGGAGCCCAAGGGCTCCCATCTCTGCAGACCCATTCCTGCTCCTCACACACCGCCATTTGTTAAACCACTCATGATTGGGACAGAGGGCACCATGGCTGTCAGCTGCCGTACAGCTCCAGCAGCACCCCCACTGGATGAGCACTGCCTCAGAGTTTGGGGAAGTCAAGTCACGTGCTGCAGATTTGGGAAGAGCACCATTAAACCCCCGAGGGCAGACTTCCCAACATCAGCCACTCCAGAGACTCCTCCCTGCCGTGCCAACCAGAGGGCTCTACCAAGCCCCACCTGGCAGGAAGTGGAAACAGATGGCTGGATCTACCTGGCTCCAGTGACCCACACCCAAAGGCCGCTGGGAAGCCAAACCTAGGACAAGCAGGAGGATGGGACCTTATTTGGTGTCTCAGGCACTTTCTCCTTGCTGGGACACAATACCTGACACCCACAATTCAAAGGAGGAGAGGTTTATTTTGGCTCACAGTTTGTAGAGTTTTCAGTCCATAGTCCACTAGCTCCAAGGCAGGTCGGCTTGGCACAGGGCCATGGACCAGGAGAGAAGCACATTGCATGGCAGGCAAGAGGTAGAGAAAGATCAAGGGAAGAGCCAGGAGGGGATGAAACTTCCAGACCATGCCCCCAGTAGCATCTCTGCTGATCAGATCCTATCTCCTAATTCCAAGTCAGCTCTAAGTTCCATAACCCAATCACATTCCAAAAGCCCTGCCTCTGAGTGCAGGAGATTCTTGGGAGACATGGGACTGAAGCCATAACATCTGGGCTGGTGCCTGACTCTCTGAGGTGGAGCCTCAGCGTCACCTGTGGGGGGGAGCTCTGGAACCTAGCTGTCTACTATCTCAGAGATGGAAAAGATGCCACCCCTGCTTGTGCTGTTGCTCAGAAAGAGCTCTGTATTTGTGAGCTGCAGCTGTCAGTATGGGATATGCAGCAGGCATGAACAGGGTGGGTGGGCTCTGGACTCAAGGTCTCCAGAGAGCAGGCTGTCCCTGTAATCAGTGCATTTACCCCTTCAGGGGACCCAGGATGAGCCCTGTGCTCCAAGTTCACAGTGGAACAGGGGATGAATGGTGGGGAGCCCTTGGAGTGGGAAGGTACTGTGCCTGGCACCTTCACTAGGTGTGCAGAGCACCGGCTGCTGCATAGAAGCTCTCAGAGCTGTGTTCTGAAACCCAGCACAGCCCATGCACAAAGCTGGATGGCTTCTGAGCCATGAAGAACAGAAAGAGCGTAGCATGATGAACATCCACCTCAGTGTGGGCACTAGAAGAGGTGTCTCCCAGCCTCCTTTCTTCATTAGCAGAAAGCGTAATTTAAGAGCCACATACTTTACAGCAAACAGGGACAACAGTACCAATAGATGACCCAGGAAGTGGCTGCCTGTGCTCCTGCTTAACATCTGGGCTCCAAGGTATTCCTGATGGAGGAACTAGTCCCTTGCCAGGAGTTCCCCAGCCTGCTACCAGGGCGGCCCCACTGGGTGGGGATACTGGGCAAGGGGGATTGGAGACCAGAGAAGGGCTGGCCCTGCCCTGTGTGACAGAGTCATTTTAAATCTCCTAGTGGACACACTCAAAAAGAAAAAGGAAATGTGAAAACAAATTTTAACCGTAGATCTTATGAAACTCAAAATACCCAAAGCACGGATGTTCCTCAACTTACAGTGAGCGATGGCCCAAAAAACCCATGGGGAAGCTGAACTATCTAAGTCAGAACTGTATGGAATGCACCTAACTCACCTATAATACTTTTGAGCCATCATAAGGGGGAGAGCTGGCAGAGATCATTTTAGGTCGGGAGTCACCTGCATGATCATTTTAACATACAGTCCATGCAGAACACTAGGAAGCTATTTTGTGGGTTTTTTGTCGGGGGGTGGGGGGCGGTTAATGCTGTCTTTGAATCCATGTGCATTTCACAGTGTGTCTCAGTGTAGACTTACCACATAAATATTCATTAGCACAGACGGTTTTATGAATCAGGTTGAGAAGGACTCCAAAATCTCTCAGGCGCTCAGAGGCCAGGTTTGGTAAGTGCTTGGATCATCTGGGCTGCTGTATTCATTGGTGGGTCTGTTCACTGATGTGTTCTGCAGCCCAGTGTGAGGCTAGCAAGCAGGGTCTGGTTGGAAGAGGCAGTCACTGGTTGGAAGAGACCTGAAAGGGTTTCTCTCCCTCCCCAGCTCCTCCTCTCTCTCTACTTCCCAACCACCATGATGTGAGTCACTTTCCTCCACAGCAGGCCCTTCCGCCATGTGTTCCTGCCTTGCAGCCTTGGAGCCACTCCACCAGAAGCTGAAACCTCTCAGAGCAAGAAGCCCAAATGCACCTCTCCTCCTTTAAGTAGTGCGTGTCAAGTGTTGTGTCCCAGTGAGGAGACAGTGTCCAAGACAGGTGATCCATGTCCACTGGTGTCAAGTGGTTCCATGGTGGAGATCAGCCAACTGTGGTCCCTCAATCAAATCCAGCCCAGTACAGCCCAGTAAGCTAAGAATGATTTCCACCTATTACCATAGTTGGAGGGAAAATCAAACACTACTTTTGACATGTGAATATTATAGGAAACTCAAAGTTCTGAGTGTACATTTTAAAGTTAAGTTTTCTGTGCTGTGTTCACCACTCCTCTTTGCAGAGATTGTCTCTGTGGTTATGAGGAAGGCCCTCGGACTGTGAGGCTGCAGGACTAGGATGCTCTAAATAGTAGCTCCTCCTACCCCTGGCCTCCCAGGTCCCAGGCAATTCCAAGAGAGGAGGCCCCTCTCCAAACACAACAAAGCCAGAGTGAACAGCAGGAAGACAGACCTTCCAGCTATTCACTCTGGCTTTGTTGTGTTTGGCGACATTTTAGTAAACCACATTTACCCCTAACACAATGCAGCTTCTCTCTCACTTGTTTAAACCATTCACTGTAAAGTCTTCAGCAAAGAATCCTGAAAAGGGACAACTCTCCTCGTCGATGGCCCTTGGGTAACTGCAACAATCATCATTCTGGTTCCTAGCTATTCAGACAGGAAGGACAACAGCCCCAGGAAGAGCCCTAGGCTACCTAGGTGGTTTTTACAAGCTGTGATCCAACAACAGGGACCCCATCCCCCAGGTCACCTCCTTGGTCAGGTGCAGGACAGCCCTGAGTAGTGCAGGTGCCAGCCCTGTGTCCCTGCAGGCAAGGTCACCTGCACAGACCCATTGGTGGGCAGGCTGGGCCTCAGCCCCAGGATCACCCTCCTCTAGGGATTCACCAGCTTGCCAACACCCCTGAGGACACACTTGAGTGGTGCCCACACAGGGCACAGATTCTCAAGTTCCCATAACTAGTCACAGCCAAGGAGGGGCCCAGGCTGAACTCTTTCTCACCTGGGAGAGGCAAGGCTGGTTGGTAGAGGAAGAGGGCTGTGTCCTGGGCCTGGGCTGGAGGAGTGGTTGGTGGGGAGGTGACAAAGACACACAGCTGGACAGGCAGGGGATGACCCCATCCCTGCTGCTCTCAGCTGCATGCCCTCTGGACCTCTGCAAGCCTCAGTTTCCTCATCTATAAGGAGGAGGCACTGACCACCATCACTCAGGGCTGGAGTGAAGATGCAGTGGAAGAAGGAGATGGCCCAGGGGCTGGGAAACAGGTTTAGTTTATCATTATTATTATTATTATTAAGCCAGAAAAATGCACCAGGCTCCTGTGGAAGTCTACTGAAGAACGCTGTGCCCTCAGGGAGAATTGTTACCTAACAAGAAGTCGCAGCTGCCCAGGCTGAGAGAGTAGGGGAACCCTGTGAGTCACCTGGTGTCACTTGGAGGGATGGGAGCTTTAGGTGCTGAGAACCAGAAATCAGCTGCAAGGCCCATGCTGCTCAGGCCTCGGCCCCAACCTTTGAAGGCATCTCATGGACACAGATGCAGAGTGGGTTGGATTTGCTGTAGGATTCAGCCACTGGTTCTCCTGTGAGTGAAGGACAACCAGGACATTTGTACCCTCACCAGCAGCCAGATGCCCACCCAGCAGAGTCCCAGAGCCACTGCAAGGATGAGACACGAGTGTGCCACCCGAGGACAGTTTTATTTATGCTCTTACAGAATGTACACGTGGGCCTTGTTTTTCTGGACAGTCAGGGGCAGACTGGCTCACATAGCGTCCATGAGGCTGCTACATTTAGAATGGTGTCTTCATTCACATTCTTTCCATGCGGCTCATGGCTGCTGGACTGGAAGGCAGGGGTCACTTTCCCTGGGCCAAGCCCCCAGGAACTGAGGCTAGCTTCCACCCATGAGACCTTGGGTTCTTGGTCGAGAGCTCAGCCGTCCCCTTGTCCAGGGGTGGTTTGCACCCGGGCACCCACCAAGCCACCCGTGGGACCCATGGTGTGGAAGGGTGCAGGCTTTTCTAGGGACAGGGGACTCTGCAGCCACCATCTGTGCTCAGACTGGGTGGGGCTGTAAAGCAGGCCCCAGGGTCTCACTGGGACAGCTGCTCGCCTGACATTGCTGCTGACGTTGTTGACCAGGCTGCCTTCTCCCACCCAGCTCCTGCACTCCCCCGGTCACCCTCACAAGTTTCCTTTCTCAGCCACTTCCAGCAAACAGCACTGGCTACGGGGCAGAGCACAGGTCTCCATTCCTAGGATCCTACACCAGACACTCTCCCCACCCGCGAAGACTTACAAGTCAGGCAAGAGCATCCTGAGGAGGGGAAATGGAACAGGAAAACTGGGGACACCCTGACGGCTGTAGCTCTGGTTAGGATCACCCCAAAGCCACTTCCTGCATAAATGAGCTTTGGCAAGGCCTCATTTCCTAGCACCTGGGACAATAATTTGGGTCAAGCGCAGCTGATACATGGACTGGCTATACATTCGCTTCCATATGTAACAGGAAAAAATATGAACTAACATATCAGCTATCATTGTTCACCATAACAGTCTGCTCAAAACCAAACTAAGTTGATTTAAATTTTCTTTAAAGGAAAATAGTCAACACATGCTGATACACAGGGTTGAGGATGTGGCAAAAATCTTGAAAAGAATAAACAACAGGTGAATATTTGAGAAGCTTTAGTGTATGAGTATAGTATATTTCTGTATGTGAGCTTCTGCAACCTTCAGTCCACTCTCTCCACCTGAAAGATGGGTAAACTGAGGCTCAGAGCAATGGAGTGCTTTAGCTGGCACCTCCTTCTCCAGGGCATTGAGGAACTGTTCCTTCCAAACTGCTTTGAGTGAAAGTATATAGACCAGGTCCTGAGCCCCTGGCCCACCAGTAGTGTCAAGGCAGAGGGTGGTTCCAGGTCCCCACTGGGGCCAGGACAGAGGTGGCTGTCCTTGAGGAGCCACAGATGGGAGGGGCAGTACGCAAATAGATCAGAGATACTGGTGCTGCAGAGTTTCCAGGCTGGGGCACCTCAGGAAGCAGGGCACCTCCCAGGGACCCATCATCTCCATTTTCTTGGGCCACAAGAGAGGGGAACATGAGGAAGTTTTTGGAAAAATAGGAAAATCTCTGGTACTAAATCCCAACAGTGAGTGGAACCTCACGGGCCCAGCTGGGGGAGGGTCAGAGGGTGCCTGGGAGTTGGCATGGGTTAATGAGCAAAGCCTGGTAAGGAATTGGGGGTCTTTGGGGGAGCTGGTGACCCTGGGGAGTACAGAAGGTGACCCTGGGGAGTACAGAAGGTGCCCATGGGGACGGTAGGTGGGAGCTCTGCCCTAGAGACCAGTGGAGCCCCTGCCAAGCAGAAGGGCCTTGCTCATTGGCTCCTGGGTCCTGCAAGGGTCTGGGTGGCTGTGGCTGAGCTCAGCATGGGGTCACTTACCTGCTGCTCCTGATAATTCATGACCGTCTGCACTGTCCCCTGAGCCCCAGCCTGGCCTGTCCCCAGCCTGCAGCTGGGCAGATCTTTGCTCCAAAAGCTCAGCAGAGAGTGGCTCCTTACTCGAGGAATGCAGGCTAGACTCTCCAGAGCTGATGATGAAATGGGCTATTTCTGCCCAGGGACACCAGCAGGCCCCTGGGTGCTGGCCCCAAGGCACACACCGTCATGTTTTCAAAGTTTCCCTAGACAAATGCTTTCCTTCCCACCTTGAGACATTCTTATCTGCTTCTACCTGCTCGAATGGCTGTAGCAGTCACTCTGGAGGAACATTGGGATTGTGAGGAGGGTCCAGCTAATCAGCAAGCAATTTCTCACTCCCCAAGCTATCCATCACCCAGGCTGATCTGGATGTAAAAATAGCTGCTGAGGCTGCTTGTTTAATCTGACTGTCACTTGACACCACGCTGGTGTCGCCGGGTGGACTGTTTGCCTCTTCCGTCCGCAGTACACTGGTCCCCGCCGGGTCTCTGCCGAGGTAAGCCCCTCGGACTCCAGGGTCCGGCCACAGTGTGCGGGGTTGGGAGTCGGGAGGTGTGGGTCTCCTGTCCTCCGTCCCCTGGCAGCCCTGGCCACTGGGGAAGAAGCCACCTGGGCTACTGGACAGAGCTGAGCACTCTGGTCTGGGAGGCCTGCGGAGTGGCAACTGGGACTGGTACTGAGGAAGGGACAGTGCAGACACAGGCAGGCTCCTTGGCACACCCAGGGCACTGCCAGCTGAGGGCAGAGGGGACATCGGCCCAAGACAGCCTTGGCACAGGGTTCGTGGGGTGGTGGGGAGCAAGGGTTCTTTGAGCACGCTGTGCGGGCTGTGTAGAGTGCATAGTCCCCACGCTGGAGACGTTGTCATCTGTCAGAGCTCTCTGCTCCCATGCGGCTGAGTGAGCAGTCACTGCTGAAGTGCCCGGTACCTGCGTGGCCAGATGGGGCGACTTCCCAGCCACCTTTGGAGACTCAAGTCGGAGGAAGTGGCTCTCCAGTCTCCCCATGCTGAGCCAGGCAGGATCCCAGCAGCTGTAGCAAGGAACATGGATATTGGGACATTCTGGTCTGTGGACTTGGGAGGCACATGTGTCCACAGCGCAAAGCCCTCCTCAGGCTGCCTGTCCCCATGCACCCTAGGGGCCCAGCCAGCCTCCCAAAGCCTTCTGGGCCAATCTAAAAATTCTTTTCTTTTGTGGAGAAAAATTGATGGGCTAGAAGAATAGCTTTGACTATGTATGAAAAGCTAGATAGCCTCAAGAAACATTATTTCAGATTTTATAATGCCACAGCAAGGGTAGGCACCCTGGAGAATAATTTTTAAATATGTATGATAGGTGATGTCCAGTTTTCCAGTGCGGAGAACCTTTGCCTCAGTGGGTGGAGAACGTTGCCTGTGGGCTAGGCACCTAGTTTTGTAAATAAAGTTTTATTGGCCCATGGCCATGCTCCCTCATTTGTATATGGTCTACAGCTTGTTTTATGCCACAACTGCAGGAACCATAGGGCTGTCAAATGAAGTCCTTGGCTATGTGGCCACTTTCAGAAGTTGGCTGCCCCTGTCGCACCAGACCCTCCTGCAGACAGCCAGTGCAGCACCCCATACCCACAGAAACCCTTGAGTGGCCCTGGGGACCAGAGGCGGGCCTCTGCCCTCCACAGCCTATTTCAGGTCTGGCCAGCACAGGAAATGTTCTGTTTGCTGGTGCTAGGAGGCTTAGCTTCACTGTGAAGTCACTAGCCATGTGTCATGTCCATGTGGCCGGCCGAGCAGGGCAGATTGTGCTTATCAAGTGGTTTATAAATAGCCACCTCCTGGTGACCCAAGTCCAGCCTGTGTCTGGCCCTAGATCTCTGGACCAGGAACCATTGTGCCTGCTCTTTGGTGACAGAGCTTGTTGATGGGAACAGCTGTGTCTGGTGGCAGAAAGAGGCTGGCGGTGCAGAGGTCCTGTGAGCTGAGGGCTCTGGCCCCCAAGACAAGGCATGTGGGGCAGGTGAGGATGAGTCCATCCACTGGGCCACCCCTCCATGCATGTACTGGGCCTCTGCTCCTGTCCTAACTCCAAGAATGCCCTGGAGACCCAAGCAAGAGGAAGAGGGAAGCCCTGGATCTGGAAGTGGGCTGCCCCAGCTTCCACCAGAGCTGGGAACAAGGATACATCTGTGGCCAGGCTGGGCTGCTTCACTCTGTGTGCCCAGTGCCAGTGGGGAGAAGCCCAGGGCAGCGAGGGAAGGCCACCTAGGTGGGGCACACAGTACCAGCATCCCCAACAATCCAGCCAATCCACAGCCCCTGGCTCAATGGCAGGTCTCATTAGGCCTCTGCTTGTCTTCTGGGTCCCTAGGGGTTTGGGGACACAAGCTGGTGAAAGAGGACAGAAGAGGAGCTGGGAATCCACCCAAGGCAGAGATGGGGACCCAGAAGCGGAGTGTGTGAGCCTATTGACACCGGTGTGCCACCCAGCATAGGTAACAAGCTCGTGTGGGACTCAGCTGCATGGGTGACCAGTGGGATCTGAGTGACAGTGGCTTCCTGAGGTCAGGCCAGATTTGTGAGTTCCCTGTAGGCTAGTGCGAGGCTGCATTCTCTGCAGAGCGTGCCTTGGCGGTCCTAGCCCAGCGCATCAGGAATATCTTTGTCCCAGAACCCAGGATCCCTCTGTCCTAGGACACAGTGTCTTAGCAATGCTCTCCTGGGCAATGGGAATATTGCCTGCTCTCAGTCCAGTCCCTGAGGACCCCTGCAGGATGGCTTCCTGGGGTGCTGGGCTCCTCCCTGTCTCCAGCAGCTCCTTCCTCCTCAAGTGGTCCTTGAGCAACTGGGGAAGAGTTCTGTCTCAGCCTCTTTCATCGCAAAGCTTCACCAGGGCGTGAGGAAGCAAGAATGGAAAGGCTTAGGTCTCCTAACCACTTCCCACCTGTTCCTGCAGCCGCCCAGCTCTTTGCCACCCCTGCCCACCATGTCTGGAGGCTGCTTCCAGACCTGTGCTGCTGATCCGGTCCTCCAGGGCCAGGGCACGTTGGAGCTGCCTTGGCTAGCTCTGTCCTCGGGCTACCAGGCCGCACTCCACACCCTCAGCCTGTCACCTCCTCTGGCCCTGGGGTACCCTCTCAGAAGCAGGTCAGCCCTGGAGGCTGCAGAAATCACAGTCAAACACTCAGAGCTCAGCATCACAGTCAGTTTCCAGCCCTAGTCTCCCACCCTGGGCATGGTGGCCACCACTGCCTGCCAGTCTCCCTGGGCCAGAACCCTAGCTCTGTTTTGAGCCCTGAGGTTACCCAGCATGATAAGGCTTGTGAGCCCCTTGCAGAGGCAGGACTGAGGGTAAGGGATTTGCCCAAGGATGCACAGCTCAGGAAGGGGTCAGTGGTCAGGTGACCCACAGAGCACCCAGCAGACCTGAGGCAGGAAGCCTCTGCCCTTCAGGAAGCTGCCCTGGTGGCCGGGTGGCAGATCATCCTCACAGAGAGCCTTCCCTCCTCTCAGCAAGCCCCGAGCCTCAGCTTGCCCTCTGTGAAATGGAGACAATGCCAGCTCCCCTGCCAAAGGGAACCCACAAGTGTTATGGACAAACAAGTGCTGGGCTCCCAGCACGTGGGAGAAACACAAGAACTGCTTTCTCCTCTCCTTGTCTGATTGGGGAATTCTTTTTCTCCCGCTTAAACCCCAGTTTGGGTCTGTCCCTTCCCAGAGTCACCAAGGAGAAAGCTCTCAGTGCATACTGCTCAGCTTGTGAGCAGCTGGCACCACATAGGACTGAGCCATGCCCGCAGTGACCACTGGGCACTTGCACATGACTGTGCATCATCACTTGCCCTTTGAGCAGAGAAGGTCTTGAATCTTCACATCTTCCACACTCAGGGTGGAGGACCGAGCCCTAAGGTTGATGTTTCTAAATTGTATGGCAGTGCCTCAGAGCACACGGGACACCTCTCCTCCTCACTGTCCACCCCGGGGACCAGAAGAGGGTTAAAGCTTCTGAGGCACATTAGAGGAATTTGAATGTCAACCATGAGCCCAAGAATGTGCATTGTAGCTGAACATTCAAGGTTGGCTCAGTGGCTGCCAGGTGCGGGAGGGTGTGGGTGGCCCAGTGGACCCAGAGGACAGACTCAGGAGGTGGCTCAGAGGCCAGGGGCCCTCAGGGCTCTGCTCAGGCCCAGGCGATACCAGTGCTTTCCCACACTTCTCTCAGCCCTTTGTGTGTGTTGGGGGGGGAGGGGTGCAAAGCTATTGCAGTGGCTTCAATGACCCCTGACCTGGAGTTACCCAGGTTACAGGGTGGTGATGATGGCTGCTGCTGGGTGGTGTGCTGTCAGGAGCCAGCCTCACTCTCCTTACAACAGACCCATGAGGCAAGGACTGTTATCATGCTCATTTTACAGACAGGGGAACTGAGGCACAAAACCAACTTGTCATTTGTTGAGGGCCATGCAGAGTTGGCACAGCTTGGGTCCAAGCCCTTCCCACCAGCTTACAGTGCCCCAATCTGGGGAGCAGAGATGGAGTGTGGGCACCTACTTTCCATGTGTATTAGCACGTCTGCCATACATGATCACATTCCTGGTCACATTCCAATCACATGATCACATTGTGATCATGACCATACATGATCACATGATCACATTCCGCATGCCCACTGCACATCTTAATTCTTTCTATTGCCTCTTCTCCCATCACTTGGTCACCCTCCCTTTTGCAAAAGAGCTATCTCCCTGTTTCCTATTGGCTATCTCTAATTTTGCTCCTTAATTTCTTTGTACTTTGGGTTCCTCATATAAGAGAAATCATGTGATGCTTAAGCTTACACATGTGTCATTTCATTTAACATTATGGTCTCAAGGTGCATCCATTTTCCTACAAATGGCACAAGTTCATCCTTCCTTATGGCAGAGTAGTTAGTGCTCCACTGTGTATAAATACATTTCTTTATCCACTCATCTGTTGATGGACACATAGGCCACTTCCAAGATGTAGCTATTATGAGTTGTGCCACTGTAAACATGGGTGTGCATGGATCATTTTAATATGGTGTCTTTAACTCCTTCAGAAAGATACCTAGAAGGGGAGGAGCTGAGTCTAGTAGAATTTTTGGTTTCAGTTTTTAGGAGTCTCCATGGCACCTACTGGATGCTTTTCAGATGTCAGCTTCCTTGTTGCCCAAGGCAATGCTGTTGCGCATTATTCCTGCCATGCTGGATGTGAGGCTCCTTCCCCCAAGGCATCCGCTTCCAAAACCTGAGGTCTCTGTCTTAGTCCCTAAAATCCCAACAACTGTGTGGCTTGCAGACAAGAAGCATTTATGTCTCACAGTGTTGGAGCCGGAAGTCCGAGTTCGAGGCCCAGCAGCCAGGTTCTCAGAAGAGGCAATATCTCCTGCATCCTGGCCCACAGGAGGAGGGAAAAGGGAAGAGCATCCAGGGGCCTTTGTGAAGGCACAAACCTCATAGGTGAGGACTCCGCCCCCGTGACCTGGTCACCTCCCAAAGCCCCTCCCCCATACCATCTCAGGGGGCCCAGACTTCAGCATGAGTTTGGGGGACATGTCTAGGCCTTGCAGGCTCTAACCTGGGTGGCACTGTGGCCTCGGGCCTTGCTCTGTGCATGTCTGTCTGGTTGCCTGGCCTTTCGGGAGCTTGAAGAGAGGAGGGGACTTGCTGAGGTCACACAGTACTGGGGGTGGGGGAGCGCAACTGGGCCAGCCTCGGTTCTGCTTCTTGCTGCACTGGCTGGCTGTGGCTACTCCAAGCAGGCCTTGCCCACAGGGGTGTCCTCTCTCCTCCACTCGGGGGCCCCAGCAGCCTGTTCCATTCTCTCCTGCCCTCCCCTTCTGGACAGCTGTCCCTAGAAAGGGCAACGCTTCTGATCCATCTCTGTGCCTTACATACGGTGACCTTCCCAAGCTGATGGCAACCCTGGGACCCTCTGGCCGAGTTGGGTACAACTTACTGAGAGCAGCCCTCTCGTGGGTGGCCCCAGGACCTGCCTTGACATGTCCCTCAGACTTGTGACAGTGCCAACACACTGGACCCACTGCTGAACAAGTCCTGGTCATGGTGAGAGGCCAGGACCTGACCTGACCTGACTTCTACTTAGGAGAGAAAGCAGACAAGTTGTTGTTCTTGGACCCCCCAAGGGGCTGGCTTCTGCCTGTCAGCAGGTCCATGGCTTTAAGCAGCTGGTCTGGCTCACTTTCTGTGGCAAGAGCAGGCTGGGGGCACTCTGAGGCCTTGCTCCTGCAGGAACGCCATGAGGAGGGCAGGGGTTGGCCAGTCCCACTGTTGGTCAGTGACAGTCCCCACTTCTCTCCTCTGCTGTGCCACCCAGCCTGTAGCACCTCATCACAGGCAGGGGAATTAGAGGTGAAGATAGTGTGAAGAACTCTGCAGCCCCACCTATGTGTTCTGGGTAGCCCTGCCCAGGATCCCTGTCTGCCCTGCCTGGCACACTTGGGAGCTGCCTTCCAGGGGCCCTGGTGCTCTTCCCAGGCCAGAGAGTGGATGGTAGCCAAGGATGCCCCTGTGCCCAGAAATGCTTCTTCAGCTCTGCAAGGGTGGTCTGGCCCCTGTGCCAGCTACCACACCATCACAACAACTATCAGGCTGCCCCCAAGGAGACCAAAGCAAAGCTGAACTTGAGCAAATTGAGCAGCTTGTCCAAAGTCTGTCTGATTGGAAGCTCTTCCCTGAGAGCTGTGCATCCCAGTCTGCGAGGAACACCACAGACTCCACACTTCAGACCGCGGGTGGGATGAGACACAGAGAGGACATGCTCCTCCTGGGGCTGTAGGTCTGAAGATGAGCTCCAAGGAAACCCAAGGGAGGACTGGGAGTACCAGGCTGCAGGGCTCTCCCCAAGAGACAGGGTACACAAGCAGGGTCTCAGCCTCTGGCAGGCCCCTCAGATTCTCTGGGGAGGTTTAATGCAGGAGGAAGGGACGTCCTGCCCCATGCCACCCTAGACAGTCTTCCTCCTCTGTAGAGAACAAGAGTAACTGCTGTGTTACTCCTCTATAATGGCTGCTGTGCTAATAATAGTATTAATCAGTCATACTGGGTTATACCAGGTGCTCAGTAAGTGGAAACATCTTTCTATTCCTTCAACAAATAAATGCCTAGCCCCATGCTAGGCACTGACACTGTGTGGGGACCGTGGACCCAGCCCCGAAGCAGAAAGGCAAGGCCCGACCTTGGACCTGCCAGAAGTGGGTCCCCTCCTCTCCCTAAGTGGCGCTTGGCAGTCCCTGCATCACTGCACTGGACCTCCAGACTGCAGCACTCCATCCAGATGGAGTCCCAGCACCCCCACAGCCACAGGTGAGCCCTGCAAGGACAGGTGGAGGTTCCGGTCTTGGACAGCATCTTGGGAAATGCCTCGGATCCTAGGGCACCACTGAGTCTCAAAGTCACTCGGTGCCAAGTGGGCTTTGACATGGAAGACCCCAGCCGGGCAGGGCAGGATGGAGTTATCTGGGCAGTGTACAAAACGAGGGCAGGTTTGGTGAGACTTTTCCCTTCCTCCACGTGACTCTGAGCCTGTGTGGCAGTGTGATGTAGGTGCATTTCTTTCTCTGTGTTGAGGGAAACAAATATGACCACTTCACCATGGGAAGATGTGTAGAGCAGGTGTGCAGCAGCCCCGTGGCCCCCAGCCCTTTGTCCCCAGCTGAGGGAGAATCCAGGATCCAGAGATGCCACAGCCAGGCCTTCCAGGGAGACCAAGTCCACTGTTCCTGTCCCCAGTGCTAGAGCAGCCTGGGGAGGGCAGGATGGAGCCAGCTTGCATTGTCTGAATTTTACAGTGGCAGTTACATGACATGCCCAAGATGACACAGGGAATGCTTGAGCCATGAGCCCAGGAGCTCACCCTGCTGTGCTCCCAGATGCTACACAGGGTTCTTAGCCAGGCAGGTTTTACCCCCCCCCCACCAGGACACCAGCAGGTTCCACCATGAAGAAGCCCATTAGAAGCAGCTCTGTATGGTGCATGGTAACCACCCCACCTTCCAGATGAGACACCGAGGCCCACAGCTGCCAGCTCTGCTCAGCAGACCCGAGACCCAGGAGGGCCTGTGTGGTAGCCCTGTCTCTAAGGAGCTGTGTCCCTCCCCTAGTGGCTGCCCTTGCCAGGACTGGTACAGGGCACTGCCCTGTAGTTCAGGTTGAATGACAAGGAAGTCAAAGAGTCATACCTTCTTGAGCAGCAAAATCATTCCTGCCAGTCCTTCTCTTTCTGTTCCCAGCTGTTGCTGCACAGGCAAGTCCCCAAGGTCCTTGCTGGGCAATGGGACAGCCTGTCACCCTGTTTCTGAGAGAGTGTGAGGAAGGGAGAGGAGAGGTGCAGATCCCCTGTGGCCTGTGCCAGGGCTCAGAGCAGTTGCTCCAGTAGACAGGCATGGGACACCTCAGGCCCACAGGAGGAGCCCTGGGCCTTTGCTGGGGGCAGCCCTGGGCATCTGCAGAGGGGGCAGAGGGGCACCATGCATACCCCTTAGTCCAGCCTGGCTTCCATCCCTCTGCCCTACCGTGACCTCTCATTTCTTCGGAGCCTAGGGTCCACCCCTCGGCCTGTGACACCTGGAGCCAGTGTCTCTGCATCACCCTCTGCTGGGCCCTGTCCCTCTCACTGTAGTCGCAGCCTCTCTCTGAGCAGCACCCCAAGGCTTCTAGGAAAGCAGCTCATGTCGACCCACAGACTGGCTACGTGGGCAGAGTGAGATCAGGAGGGCTGAGCCCCCACCCAGGTATCCAACCCCCAGGAGCTCCTGGGGCTGTGGAGCATGGCCACAGTGACCTCATGCTCACAGTGTGCAGACCAAGCTCACAGCACACAGGCTGAGCCAGCTGGCTTCTTCCCCAACATCCCAGGAATGTCCTGGATGCCTGCCCAGACTCAGTTGTCCTCCGCATTCAACTTGATTCTAGGGATTCAAGTTCTTTGGGCCCCAGGACCAACCACCCTATATCCACCATGGCTCTCACCAGGCCCCAGAGCCCTGGCTTGTCCAGGCCAGGCCAGGCTGCTGCCCTCCCCAGGAGCCAAGTCCTAGACCTGGGGTCCCAAAGAGGCCAAAGGAATACGCAAGGCTTTTGTGCAACTCAGAGTTCCCTCTGACGTGCAGCAGAGACCCATCCAGGGGAGCCAGTCTGGGGCCATTGGCAGTGTATGTACTTATAAGAAGTAATGACCAGGCCTGCACAGGTTGGCTCTGGTAGGCAGTACACACAGGTGTTCCATGAGTGGCTGCACAGAAAAGCTTTGAGCTCAACGAGCAGAGGCCCCAACTTCTTCAGGAGAGTCGGAGGAACTGCAACTTCTGCCTTGCACAGGTCAGTAGGGGTCGAGGAGAGAGCAATCAAGTGGCTGAGGAAATGTCATCTTGGGGCCAAGAGCAAGACCCCCAGGCCTCAGAGGGCTTGGGAGAGGGACAGGCAGCCAGCCCCTTGTTTAACCCTCAGTTTCCCCAGCTGTTTCAGGGGAGGAGCTGGACAGCTAGATTTCATTGGCAGCCAGTGGTGCAGGCATGAGCATGGAAGGCCGAGCTGACTGCCCAGACTCCTGCCTGCCATGCCTGCTCTTCCCTGGAAGACCATTTGGGTGGGGAAGCTAGTGCTGAATGACTGTGCCCCCAGGACTTGGTGAAAATTGACCCTTGCAATAGAAAGAGGCTATCGTCGACCCAAACCAGCCAGTGCCTGGTGCTGGGCTCCCCATAAGTCTCAGAATTACAGGTCCCAGCCAGTGAAACATCCAGCTCACTGAGCGTAGAAAGCAGATAAGAGTGGCCCCTTGGAAGCAGGGGGCTGTTGGAAATGGCACAGAGAGGTCAAGATCTGGGCCCAGAACTGACCAGCAAGTCACGGGTCCAGAGGAGGGAGCAGAGTGGTACAGGGTGTTGCAGGCTATGTTCATGGTGACAGTGAAGCTTCCAGGCTGCACGCAGATGGGGAACTCAGTTCATACTGGAGAGCTGCTCCTGAAGGCTCCTTGAGTTATGCCTCCTGAGCCTGGCCTGGAAGAGACAGCAGAGGCAGTGGTAGCGTCTGCGGGGTCCTGTGGTGTGACAAAGCCAGCCCTGCCATCTCACAACCTCTTGCTTCCTCTTGGTGAGCAGCAGAAACACCACTCAATTAGAGCAATGAAATCATCCCAAGGCCTTAGCTCAAACCACAGCATGGGCCAGGCTGATCCCAGCGCTTCCTGCAGAAAGAGAGACGGATGGAGCAGAAGAGGGTCCCGGTATCCTCAGCATCCCAGCAGCCCAGTGGGAGGGAGGCTGAGAACCCAGTGGAATCAGCCACAATGCCCTGGGCTGAGGAGACCCAAGGATGGGACACCACAGTGTCAAGGGGCCCCCTTTCCCATCCATGCCTGCAACGCTCCAGAGCCCAAGCTGGGCCAGACAGAGGTGGAGTCAGAGGTGGGGCTTTCATCCTGCAGAAACTCTCGCAGGTGACCTGAGCTGGACCCCAGCCCAGTCCTTCTCCATCCCTACAGTCTGTGTGACACTGAGCCACACCCCATGCTTCTCTGTGCCTTCTCCTCTGAGAAAAATGGTGACCACAAGTTACATTCCCCCCACCCCAGCCCTCACAGGGGCATGAGGATCAGATCTGCAGGGTGACACACACACATGGGCATTGCTGTCACCTTGTTGGACCACAGTTTCCCTGTGTGGCCATCCTGGCTGACTCAGCTACCAGCTCCCTGCGATTCAGATCCACCTTGGGCCTGCAGAGCTATGGAGGCTTGGGGTTGCTGCTGAGGAAGTCCCGTGGATGTGACTTCCAGACAAGCTATTGCCTTGTGCATGGGATACCCTCAGACTAAAAGGGGGTTCTGTCATCTGAAGCCAGCAACCGTAGGTGTCCTCTGTTCAGCTTGCTGGAGCTCTGGACCTCAGCCATCCTCCCCTTGCACAGATCCCAGGGCCAGATAGCCCAGGTCCCAGTCTGTCACCCACCAGCTGTGACATATGGACTGTTGCTTCTTTGCTGGCTCTGTCTTCCCGTCTCAGAAGGGAAGTGGTGACCTCATTGGTGGTGACCCTGAGGTGGGGGCTCAGATGTCACCAATCAAAGCTCTTGTCCCATGGGACCAGCTCTCTCCTCGGCCATGGAGCTCCAAACACTGGCTCTACATGGGCCATTTGGAACAGCTTGGCATGTGGAGCTAAAGCATATGCCTCACACAGGCCATCTCCAGCCTGCCCCAGAGCAAACACAACGTCACTGGGCACCCACTTGTGGCATGGACCCTCTAGTGCCCATTTGCAGCGTGGCTGTCAGAACTTCTCCCTGTCACCAGCAGTACCACCCTTATCCTAAAAGGCATCCAGGTGATGGGACACAGGGTCCAGAGACACGCAGGGTGCTTTCAGTGCTGGTCTCTGGGAAGCATGTATCCACAGTAATGACAAGGAGACCAGGGCTACAGGTCCCCTGAATGTCCACAAAGCAAATGCCACAGGTCCTTCCATGCCAGTGTCCTATCCTTGTCTTCCCTGGCTGGAGCCCACCCTCCTCCCTGAGCAGGCAGAGGACTGGGCTTAGCGTAAGGCCCAGGGCTAGGGTCTCTGGGGCTATCATGCTCCTCTTCTCTGTGCCTCAGTTGGCCCTTGAAGAGACAGTGACCCAAGATGAACACACCCAGGGCAGAGCATTGGCAAGAACAAGACAGAGCTTCCCCGTCAGTGTGCTTAGTGCCCAAAGCCATGCAGGCCCCTCTCTGGGCTCAGGCAGCTTCCAATGGAGGACAGAGAGAGTGATCTCCGATTTCTAGACATCTGGGTGACACTCGCTGTGCGATCTGTGACAGAGCCGTGAGAGCTGCAGGGAAGGCACAGGAGCCCGGGGAGTCATACAGGCCAGACGGGCCTCACTGTATCCCCCAGGCCCAGTGAACCCCTGCTACTCTCCAAAGAAACTGAGTTATTATGATTACTAATATGATTAATAAACAATCTCAGACTAGGTTGATATCCAGATGTTGCAGTGTGGGGAGGGTCTTACAGAAGCCCTTGAGACTTGCATTTAAGATTTGCCAAGTGGGCTTATTTTTTTGTACCACAGATCGAACTCTGGACCGTACCTTGCGCTTGCCAGGCAGGCGGAGGAATCACTGAGCTAAATCCCCACCCCAGGTCTTACTTTAATTAGTTTACATTTCACCCTGAGCTCTCTGAAAATCCTCCCAGGCAGCTTTTTGGTTGTTTTAGCTGTCATGATAGATACTCCAGCCTCCCACCAACAATAATTCGAACGCCAATGCTGCCACGGCTTGAGTCTGGCCACACCAGTTCCCTGCACTGCAGACCTGAGTCATTAATTCAGTGAGCAAAGAGCCTCTGGTCTAATTTTACTAGGAATAAATAAATAATAATAAATTTACAACTGGGCCAATTGTATTAGAAATCCCAAAGGCTTAAAATAAGTTCCTGAAGAGTACTTGGACAGTGGACAAATTCATGAATATTAGAAGGAATATGAATTAACCTTGTGTTGGTTTTCCCAAAAATGCCTATGTCTGGAATTTTGTTGCATTCGAGTGTGAATTTTTTTAAAAAGGACTGCTGGCCAATTGCATTGCAAATTATAACTATGTTACTGGTGTTTAAAGATGGTTCTTGGCCATTTGGTCTGCTGGGTTCCACTAAAATTACTTTCCCTCTTATTTCTAGATGGGCTGTGATGACACGAAAAGTGAGCAAGAAAATAAATTTGGAAACTACAAAACCTAAAGCCCAGAAAGACAGGCACGTGCAGCCCCTGCTGTGGTAACAGGTATGTGTATGAGTCAGCCTACCGTCACTGTGACAAACACCTAAGATGATGGACTTGAAAGGGGAAAAGCCTTTCTGCTTCTGATTCTGTAGGTTTTGGTCTGTGGTCCTCTGGCCTGTGGCAAGTTCTGGATGCTCTGTCCATGAGTATCTTCACTGGTGTTTGGAATTAAGGTGGAACCCAAGATCAGTTAGGGCTCTTGGGCCACAGGCAACAGAAACCAGGCACAGGGACAGGAAGGAAATTGGATGCTGGGGACTAGGAGTGGAAGGGCAGGACAGCAGCACCAGAGCCCCTGGAGCTCAGGAGAAACAAGCCGTCATCAGCCTTGTCCTGGGTGTCACCTCCATACCAGCCTGGAAGCCTTGCTACACACCTTGACTCTGCACCCCAAGACTGAACATGGCAGAGGGGAGAAGAGATTCTCCAAACTCAAGGTTCTTACTGGGGGGACTGGGGAGTGGAGTGTTCAAAAATCACAGCATATTCCTGCAGATAGACAGTGGGCCTTTTACATGTCTCTGACATTCCAGCTTTCCGTCTGTACCAATCCCATTTTCATCTTGAAGTGGAAGTGTAGAAACCCCAGGATTCCTGGGTTCATTACCAGTTGTGGCCAGGTTGAAAATCCCAGCACTAGGGCCACAAGGAGACCCCTACCTTGTCCTGGAGGATGCCAAGGACAGGAAACCTGGCTACTGTGGCCAAAACCACTAACCACCACCACCCCCTGGCTCCGGCAACAACCCTAAGAGTGGATGGGTCTCTCATCGAGGACTCAGCTATCCATTGCCCACCCTACCAGCAAGGTAGGCTTTGGTGGTCATGGCTTCTTGTTCTTCAGGCTGCAGAGCGAATGCATCCACGTTATAGTTGAATTCATTCCCCTAAGAATCTACACATTGCCTTCCTAACCCCAGGACTCCACTGGAAATAAAGATGAGGTCCTTAGGTGGGCCCTGATCCAGTCTGTCTCAGGTCAACATAAAAGGAAAATGTGGACACCTAGACCAGCAGCAAGGAAGACAAGGTGAAGCCACCGGGGTCACAGCCATCTGCACCTCAAAGAGCAAGGCCTGGGACAGCCCTTCCTCCAAGCCCTCAGGAGTCCCCAGCCCTGTTGACACCATGACTTTGGACTCTGGCCACCAGTGCTCAGAGATGACACCATTCTGGTCATGGGCGCCTGGGCCGATGTGGGACTGGCAAAGCCATGTCCTCAACTTCTGGCTAGTTGTCATACTTGGAGTAGGAAGACAAGGCCCCACTCAATGGGAACCACACACAAGCCCTTTCCCAGATGTCTGGCTGGTTTTGCCCCTTGAACTAGAACCCCGTGCTCTGGCAACGCTAGCTGCAGACAGTCTATGGTGCAAGTGTTTGGCTTTCCCAGCTATTTTGGAGGGGGCAGCAGGTAGAAGAGGAGGGGTGTGAGAAACAGATGCAGCTGGGGGTCAGAGGGGTCCACCTCCCACGCCATGCCTGGGCCACTGCTGTCACTTTCTGTGACCTTGTGACAAGCTGTGCTCTCGTGAGTGTGTGCATCCCAGGCAGCAGGTGACCTGGTGTTCAAGGCAGGGCCGAGGAGCACAGAGAGGCTTCCCAGCATGCGTCTCAGTGCTCGGTCCACTCAGCCACTCGCTGGACACCAGGTCCTGCCCCTCCCCATGCCACAATACAGCTCTTTCATTCAGAGATGCAGCTGCATGCTGGGGGTGGGCTTTGCACACTTCCAAGTGCAGTGATCAAGAGACCAGCGACAGCAGACCCCAACACAGCCAGCCTCTAGGACAAAACAGGAAGAGGAACAGACAGCACAGCAGCTCATCCCCTCTCAGGAGTGCAATTAATGCTGGCCCCAGTGGACTCTGAACCCCAGCAGCCAGCAGCAGCCTATCAGGGGGGCCTTGTGGAGCCAGGCGAAACCCTCACAGTGTTGAGAGACCATCATCCTCCTCCAGAACACTGGCTGACATCACAAATGGCAAGCAGGAGAAGTTGCACCACTTGATCAGCAGCTGCTGCTGTGAGCAGGACACTTGGGACAGGGTCCTTCAAGGACTTAACAGCACCCTGCTGGACGCTCACTGTGCCCCCACACGGCCCCTCCCAGGGTCCGTCAGTGCTCTTTCATGGAGCATCTCACAAACTCATTACCTGCCCTCTGCCTTGGTCATGTGCCGTTCTCGGCTTTGGAGGTGTGTGCCCCAACCCCCAGCCTGCTCAGCATCCCAGCAGGAAGCAGCACCCTTGGCATCCAGAAGACAATGTAATGTGCCCACCCCATACCCATAGGGTAGATTTTGTATAAAAAATAGGAAATACCAGGGGCCAATGGGGATGTGGGTAAACTGAGAATGAGGTGAGAATGCAAAGTAGTCCAGCCCCTCTGGAAAATGGTCTGGTGGGTCCTCAAAAAAGTAAATAGAGAATCACCGTACAACCCAGCAATCCCATTTTGGGTACAGAAGAATGGATCCCAAAGAATTGAAAGCCAAGTTTCAAAGAGACATTTGCACACCCACATTCACACAGCACCATCCACAGTAGCCAGAAGCTGGAAGCCACCCAATTGTCCACCAATGGGTGATGGGCATACATGTGGTGTGGTCCTCCTCGTCCACAGGGTCCTGTCTCAAAGTGGACCCAAAACATCTAGAAGGCTCTGCAGTGAACAAGTACAGATGTTTTTCCTTGTCATTCTTCCCTAAATAATGCATTAAAAACAACTATGTAGTATTTAAATTGCATTTGGCATTATTAGTATAGAGACTATTTAAAGTATATGGTAGCATTGTGTAGGTTACATGAAAATGCTACATCTTTTACATAAGAGACTTGAGTGGTATGCATAGAGGGGTCAAGAGTCCATTCACACAGATATCAGTGGATGACCCTGCGTATGCACACATAGATATAGATGAGAGAGAGAGAGAGAGAGAAGTAGAGAAAGTGATAGGGATATGGCTATAGATATGTGTGTATACCAGATATGATTTGCCTTGAAAAGGAAGGAGATTCCAACACACCCTACAACATAGGTAAAGCCTCAAGGACTTTATGCTAAAGAAACCAGAAACAAAAGGACAAATACTGTACACTTCCATTTTTACAAGGATCCTAGAGCAGTCAATTTCAGAGACAGAAAGTAGAAGGGAAGATGCCAGAGCCCTAGGGGAGACTGTGAGGAGCTGGTGTTTCGTGGATACAGAGCTTCAGTTCCTCAAGAGGCAGCCCGGAGACAGTGGTATAGACAGCATAGTTGTAACCAGCACTACTCAGCTGCACAATCAAAAATGACTAAAATGGCAAGTTCTATTTTGCGTATATTTCAGGATTTTCTAAACAGAAGATAATATAATGAAAGGGTACAGCAGAACAGGTAGAATTCAGGAGAGCCCAGGGATGTGGGCTCAGGGACAGTGGGGTCTGCTCTCCCAGCCCCAGAAAGGGGCCTCAGTGACAGTGGACAGCAGAGTTACAGCCACAACCTGCCACCCTGCCCCCCTTCCAGCCACCAGCTCCTCTGCAGGCCACACCCAGGGCTATCAGAGTGTCCTGGCCCTGGCTGCAGGCTCTGGGAACCCTGTCCTCCTGCAGGAAGATCCCTTGATGAGAGACAACAGTGAACACGGAGCCCAGAAGTCCCTAAGCTCCAGTGCTTATGGGATAATGTGAGGACAGACAACAAAGAGGTCAATCTAATTTTAGTTCTTGCTCAGTACCAGGATAATAAACCAAGAGGTAGAGGAGATGGGGGCATCCCATGGGGTGTCAGGGAACTTGCAAAGGTGACAGCTGGCTTCAGGCTGTATATCAGTCAGGGCTCTGCAGAACTGAACCAACAGGATGTGTGCAAGAAGAGAGGGAGAGAGAGAGAAAGAGACCCATTTAACATAGATCTACGCTCTTGGCCAATTTCTAAATATTCAGTACAGCGCTGTTAACTACAAGCACCGTGCTGAAAAAGGGAGCTCTAGGACTTACTCATTTGCAGACTGCAAACTTTGAACCCTTTGCCAATGTCTCCCTGGCCCACACCCCAGCCCCAAGTAGCCACTGTCTCCGCTCTGCTTTGAGGTATGTTTTAGATCCCTTGCATAAATGGCTTCATGTTTGTCCTTCTGTGTATGGTTTGTTTCACTTAAGATGAGGTCCCTGGCATTCATTTGTATTGTGACAAATGAGGAGATGTCCCTCTTTCTTCAAGGCTACGTGACCCTCCTCTCCAAGTATACAGCGCCCTTCCTATCCATCTGTCTGTCCTCGGATGTTCAGGATGCTCCTGTGTTCCACTACTTAGAACAGGGCTGCTAAGAGCATGAAAGGACAGATATCTCCTTAAAAACTGATTTCATCACTTTGGGGAACTACTGAATCACAATATATTGTGGTTCTTAGTGTTTTGAGTGCCCCCCATACTGTTCTTCATGAGGCTGCTGTGCATTCCCACCAGCAGTGTGCAAGTTCCCTTCTCCCCCTGCCCCTCTCTACATGCATTACCTTGCTTTATATATAAAGTACCCTAACTGGCAAATGCTTTCAACTTGAGTTTCCCTGATAAGTAGAGATGCTGAATACTTTTTCGTATACTATTCATGTCTCTTCTCTCGAGAAATATCTCTTCAGTTCCTGTGCCAACTTACAGTTATTTGCTTTTGCTTTGTTTTTAGGCTTTTGGCTATTGAATTTTATGAGTTCTCTATATATTTTTATATATTAATCCTTTATCAGTTATACGGTTTGCAAATAAATACTCCTTCCCATTCTGAGGGTTGTCTTTCAATTTCTGGATTGTTTACTTTGCTGTATGAAAGCCTTCTAGTTTGATGTGATCCTGCTTGGCCAGTTTTTTGTGACCTCTCAAGTGGGCTCCCCTTACAACTTTGCTGATGAGATGAGGATCTCCTGCAGCAGGAGAAAAGCTACCTAGAGCCTGTTGACTCTAAGGTTAATCACATCTGAAAGACAGTGTCTCGGCAACATCTAGATGAGCATAGTACTGAAAACCAGCTACCACTGGCCAGCCAGGCTGACACATAAAATCAATCATCATAGTCGCCTTGCCCACCTGACCAGCAGAGAGCTCACACCATGACTTCTTTCTTTTGCAGAGAAAAAGAAAATCCGTGCTTCGCACTTGGAACTGATACACAGGAAGCTCCAATTCTGTGGGAAGTGGGCTGAACCTACCCTCGCCAGCATCGTCACCCAAAGTTCCCAGCTGACAGGGACATGCAAGGAAACAAGAAGTGCACAGACGGGTTCAGTGACTCCTCGAGCATCGGCAGTGTGCTGGACGATGCGGACCGGGAAGTGAGCAACCTCACAGACCGGGCCTTCCGGAGCCTATGCATCTCTGAGGATGCCTCCTTCCATGACTCTAATCTGGCCCTGTCCCCAGAAGTCACCCACCGGGGGTTTGGGCCTCTCTACCAGAACACCGTGAGCCATGCCCGCAGGAAGAGTGGCATCTGGAGCCAGCTTCCATCACAAGGCACAGAGCACACAGGCTGGGCTGCCACCTTCCAACAGCAGCCCAAGTACGTTCAAGGGGAGGACAAATACCCCAAAAGCAGCCCCCCGCTCACACCAGCCCAGCAGAGACTAGAGGTGCCAGTTTCCGGCCTGCGGAGCAGCCACAAGCCTGTTTCCAAAGTATCGTCCCTGATCAAGTCTTTTGACAGGACTGAGAGCCAGCACTGCGACAGCAGGCTGCCCCCCAGCAAGCCTCCAGCTCTCAAAAATCCCCCCAAATTTGCCCCTCTTCCCGACAGCAGTGTCAACTTTTGCTTCGACTCAGCCTTTCTGACAGTCAGGAGAGTGCCGGCCGAGGTCTCCAGCGCACAGCAAAGCAGCCACCAGCCCACCTGGAGCCATGGAGAACAAGGGTCCCCCCAAAACCCCGAGATGGCCCATCATGACTCCAGCAGTTTCCTCTCGAAACCAGACAGTGCAACCAGCTCATTTGAGTCCAGCTTCCCCTCTCCAGCCCACCACCCCGCCAAGATGGAGCCTGGCAGAGGCCAGGAGTGGGCACACAAAAGGACCTTTCTGCACAGTGAGAACAGTGCCTTTGAGTCATGGGACACCCACCAACCCAAGTTGTTTGAGAGAAAGAATGTTGCTGAAAGCATGCCCGAAAGCAAAGTTCCCAAACATTATGAGGACAAGCCCCCCATAAGAGAAGCCCATGATCCACAGCACAAAGTCTCTCCCTGTCCAGTCCGGCCCAGCTGCGCGCAGGAGAACAGGTCGGCCTCAAGGGCTCTGTCCATCTCTGGACCACAGGGGGTCAGGGACCCAGGATCCCAGGTTTTTCTCATAGAAGGAAAAGCGGCCAGCTCACACCCTGACCCTCAGGTAAGGCCAAGCCAGCCTCCATGGAGGAAGCCAAAGACCAGCAGGGGCAGGAAGGAAAATCTGGCAGATGTTGTAGAAGAGCAGAAGCAGACTCACAAGAGAGGCCCCGCTCTGTACACAAAACACAACACACAGGCACACCTCACAGAAAATGATGCCATGGACATGCCTGAGGACCTCGACCAACATTACAGCCCTCCTTTCAATATCAGCAAGCTCCTGACCCCTGTCATCCCTACCAAGCACGCCCTGGAGTCATCAGACAACTGGCCAGAGGAGACCAGCCCGTCCCCACCAGGGAAGCTGAATGGATATCAGGAGCAAGAGCAGGGCGAGCATCCGTTGAGAGACAGCTACAAATCCAAAGCGCCCAGTCTGCTGTTCAACCTCAAGGACGTGCGGAAGTGTGTCAAGAGCATGTACAGTCCCTCACCTCTCTCCAAAGGCTTTGATGAGAAATCCCAAGGAAAGGCTGGTGGCAAACAAGAACCAGTGAGCAATGGGGTCATGCTTCCCAATGGGCTCGAGGAAAGCCCTCCAAATGAGCTGTTTGCAGAAAGGCCAGCCGAGGCCCCTACTGCCTCGCACACTGGCTCCCAGAACCCTACAGCCAACCAGGGTGAAGGCTCTGTGCACAACCTTGGCTCCCCTCCCACAGTCGCCACAGCCCCCTTCTGTGTCAACGGGAAGGCTGCAGGAAGGAGCGGTGAGGAGAAAGACGCTGTCGGTAGGGAGTCAGAGCCAGGTTCTTCCAAGTCCACCTGGCACCCAGACAGCAGGGGACAAGGCCCCAGGAAGCACCTGTCCCTGAAGCTGTGCACCAGGGAGCCTGAGGCCGAGGCTGGGGAGGCTGCAGAGCAAACCAAGCCCCACCCGCTGGAGAATGGGCTCTCGAGATCCATCTCCCAGGGTGCGGAACCCAAGCGTGAAACGGGGCTTCTGAGACCATGGCCCGACCAGAAAGCCTCCCCGGGGCCCCTTTCCCCTGAGGAGGAGGAGGATGTGTTTTACAGTGACAGCCAGTCTGACTTTATGCCAGGCCTCCGCAGGAAGACGGAGTTCAGCACCAGCTCTTCAGATCCATCTTTTGCTTCATTTGACGATCAGCAGAAGATGGGGTTTTCTGAGAGCCAGAGGGAAAACAGGAAGAATGACTTGAGTGCAGGCGACAGTGAGAAGGAGAAGAAGGAATATGTGACGGGGACGGGTGACATCCTGAGCAATGGGCACACATATGTGGGAGAGCACAGCCAGAGCGAGGTGCCACAAAGCACAGGAGGTTTGTGTGCAGGCAGCCCCAGGAGGGCGTCCACCGAGGAAGCAACTCTCAGCAGCTCTCAGATGGGGGTAAATAGGGACTCGGCCCTTTCACAGGCCAAAGGCCCCACCCACTCTCCATCTCCTGCAGCAAGCAAGCACCTGCTGTTTACAATTAAAGACAACACCCTGAGGGCCACCCCGGTGATCAGACCCATCATCCTGCCCCTGCTGAGGACCCTGTCCTCAGAGGACTCATTCAGAGGGGGCCACAGAGAGGAAGAATCCCCAAGGCAAGGCTGGGGTGAGAATGCTGGAGGTCGCAATGTTCTTAATAGCCGGGAAATGCCCACCACACCAATACCCGCTAACACTTGGGGCGCACGCTCAAAGCGCATGCCCTTTGAGGTCCCAGAGGATCCTGGGCAGGTGTCCACAGCAGCTGGGGCAGACACCTCCCAGCCAGACCCAGAGGAGACTTTCTCACCTCTGCCACTGGTGGGAGAGGGCAACAGGACAAAGTCACCCTCAGATGGGGCACCGGAAGTTGTTGCCAGGAATGGAAGGAGCAGGCCCACAGACTGGAGGAGGCTGGCTGCCCCAAGACACATCCCCACCATTGCTTTCCCCGAGGGTGACCTGGAAGAGCAGTCATCCTGGCAGACACCGGCCATCGGCTGGGAAGAGCCGATGCAAAGTGTCCAAGGCCACTTTCTGTCTGCACCCAGAGCAGGGCCACTGGGGAGGAGATTGGTCCTGGGTGAAAGGGCGACATCTCCCAACCCCAGCTCCCTGGGAGAGAGCAGCGCCTGCTCACCTGCTGCCAGCAGCCTTTGGGACGACACCTCTCAGGCACCCGGGGACCTGGGTCTACTGCCCGAGGAGCCCCCCAGCAGTGCCAGTCCCTGGGCCCCAGGTCCTGCCAGGCTGGCACACCGGGAGGACCTGACACATGGCCTCATGTGGGAGCCAGACAGCTCAGACCCCCAGTGCCAGCTGGCCATGGAGGACCTCCGACCACCCTCCCCGGGAGGCTCCTTGCTGGACTCGGCCACCGGCCCAAAGAGACCTGAGCCTCCCACTCAGCTGGAGAGGGCAGCTGGGAAGCCCCCCGCAGTGCCCCCCAAAACAGAGAAGGCCCTTCGGCGAGCTAAGAAGCTGGCAAACAAGCGAAGAAAGAGTGATCAGGTGGCTGAGAGGCTCAGCGAAGCCAGAGAAGGTCAAGAGGGGACAGTCTGTGGGCCCCAGGCCTTTGGGGAGGGACCCCAGCTCCCTGCTGTGCATGCACTGCCCCCTCCTGCACACCGCCACTCGGTATCAGGCATTGTGGAGCCCATAGGAAGGCGGCTGTGGGAGGCCCAGCCCCTGGCACCCCTGCCCCCGTACCCTGCCATGCAGAAGGTCCTCCAGGACCCACAGTCTGGGGAGTACTTCGTCTTCGACCTGCCCCTCCAGGTGAGGATCAAGACCTTCTATGACCCTGAGACGGGCAAGTACATCAAGGTCTCAGTCCCTGCCTCCGAGCGGGCCTCACCCGAGCCCCCTGGGCAGGATGCCCTGGCTGAGCCCTACCTACTATACCCTGGCCTCCGGCCAGTGCCCATCACCACGCTGAGGCCCCTGCGCTGCTCTTCCCAGCTCTCTGCACCCACCTTCCTGGGGCAGAGCCTTCACTCCAGGCCCTACAGTGCCCACGACACTGGGCCTCAGTGCAACACCAGCCCACCCAAGGGCACCCAGCACCCGCGGGGGCCACACAGGGGCCCAGAGGACGAGAAAGTGGAAGCCCCAGGTCTGGCCATCATCTCCACCGACGACCTGGAGGACTTTGCCACTGAAGGCATTTCTTGAGGGTTACAACGGACTGATCCCCACCCCCCAAAACCAAAGAGCTTACATCCTGTCCCCTCAAACAGGCAGTCTCTCCTTCATACACACACACACACACACACACACACACACACACACACACACACACACTCAGCCATCTGAGATCCCAATTGTCCAAAGGGAAGTGGAGATCTACCAGCCCCCTCGGAGGAGGGTGCTCTTTGCATAGCCCATCCCCACACCCCCTCCCAGCTCAACCCACGCCATCTCTGCCTCCCCCATCCTGCCCTGCCCAGTCCCTGCCCAGTCCCTGCCCCAGGGCAGTGTAACTCAGTTACTGGGTCCTTGGGGCTGCTGACTCTGGCAGTCTCCAGCCTTCCTTAAGGTGAGCTGGCCAGGGAGGCATCCAGAAATGTTGAACCCTGCTGTGGGTGGCCGTATCCCACCTGAAGCGGAGCAACACATAGCAGGCTGCAGGTCACCTCAGCAGTCTTGGAGAAATGACAGTGAGAATGAGGACATGTGCCCCCGGGGCTATTTTCTGACAAAGAGAAGGCTACAGTCTAAAAAATGAAACAAGTTTGCCAACACAGTTCCCTCCCTGGACTCCTTACTGTCTTTCTTCTGTGAGCAGTGGGGGTTGTGGGCCGTGAAGTTCAGGGTCACACACAAGCAGTGAGGGCCACACAGTACCTGTGGGTCCCCTGGTTCTTCCAGCCTCTGCTTATGCCTTCCTGAACCAAGGCCTCCATTAGTGCCAGGGAGGCCAATGAGAAAGCCCCAAGCCTGCCATCAGGGATGGCCTGGGGAAACTGAGTCAGAGCCTAGTGGCCCTGATTTAGTGGCTGGTTCCTGTGCCCTGCACTCAAAAGGAAGTTGTTTCCTAAGTCTTCAGCCTCTTGGGTTTAGAGGAATGTCTCTAAATCAGCACAGGGAGGCGAGGGGGGTAACTGGCCCTGCTCCCTGAGTACTGAGAAGGTCCCAGAGCAGCAGGCAACCCCAGCCTCCTGCAGTTCCCCCACCCCAGCTTCTGTGAAAACCTCTGTTCTTGTCCTAGAGAAAGACAGAGCTGAAAGACATCCCTCCTTGGTTAGAACCCCAACAGCAGCAGGATCATGCTGTCCAAGTCCCGTGGACCTTGCAAGACACTTTGTGCCATTTCTACACCAGGAAGATGGACAGGCCCCTGGCTATATCCCCACAATCTCAGTCTGTACCTCCCCAGGACACTGCAGGGCTGGGTCTTCAGCTTGGCCTGGATAGAGGGCTTTGGGGTGGCACTCTGGGTGGCTCCTGTCAGGTGCACAGGAGGAAGAGGGACCTGCTGGGGTGAGAGGTAGTAGGCATCAACATACTCTCGAGTGACCAGCACTGCCTCCCCCACACATGGAAGGTAGGGCACTTAAGTACCCCAGGCAAGATGGTGGGGCTGATGTGTTCCCTCCTGAGGCAGGGACAGATTCGGGTGTCACAGGGACTGAACCATAGCTTTCCATGACCCAGCTATGTGTGGGGCTTCCAGGAAGTGATGGCCAGGATTCAAGTCTACATGGGGTGGTGGTGAACATTGATGGGGGTCGTCTGGGTATAAATGAGGATGCATTGGAAAATCTGAATTCTGTGCACATAGATAACATTGCAGTCCAAGCAACATGTGATGTAGAGCACAGTCCTCTGTGTGGCTCTCCCATTCACTCAGGTTTAAAGTCCAAACAGAGCAGAGAGAACTCTGAGCCATGTCAGTGAGCTTGTTACCCTGAGTCCTGCTCAGGCTTCCTCTGTGTCAGCTCTGGGGGCCATCAGAGCAGAGAGTTCAACCCTTTCACCTGGCTGGGCTCCTCCCCTACCCTCAGGCGAAGTTCCATTCTGTCTAGGCTGTATAGCCACTCCGCTGGCACTTAGCAATGGGACAGCTTCAGGCCCACCTGCACCTGACCTGTCAGACTCCCAGGTGCTGAGAAAGGGAGGCTGTAGACATCAGTGCTCCCCAAGATTCTGATGCGTGCAGACTCCTAAATGCCACCCCAGAGCAGAGTCCCACATCTGGCCTTGGCATACCAGGCAGCTGCAGCCAGGCCACTGGCTGAGTGGTCCTCTTTTTTTCCTTTTCTCTTTTTTTTTTTTTTTTGGTACCGGGGATCGAACTTGGGTCCTTGTGCTTGCGAGGCAGGTGGCAGCACCACTGAGCTAAATCTCTGGCCCTGGCTGAGTGGTCCTCTTGCAGAGACCCTCAAGAGGAGGGCTCAGAGGGGGCTGTGGACATTTGGGCTGCCAGGGAACTCAGAGGACCTGCTCCTCTCCATGGAATGCTATGGCAAGGGTCAAGGACCATCAAGGGAGCCACCATCCCAGAGCCACCCAGGACATGCCCAGACTCAGCAGCCAGGTTTATCTGGCCTCTGTTGCCAACACTTCTTCCCCTCCTTGCTCAGCCACTCTGAATTGGGGCTTTTAGAACAGAAGGCTTCCCTTCCACAGATGAAGCAAGCCCCAGGATCTGGTAGCACAAATGGGTATCTGGAGATGAGAATCCTCTGCCCATCCTCACCCCCAGGAGAGTAGCCAACCTTCACTTTGTGTTGCTATGACAAAGTACCCAATGCTGTGTACTTTATGAAGAGAAGAGGGCACCCATATCCTGGTGAAGCCCCCTGGCTATGTCACAGGATGGTGGGGAAACAGAAAGGGAACTGGCTGGGTTCAGAGGACCAAGAGTGGGCACAGCACAGGAGGAACCAACCACACTCAAACCATGGTACTGTGGTCCTCATTTGCTAAAATGTAGTTTTGTCTGTGATTCATGTTACTGTCTCAGCATTTTCCTCAATCCCAGTGTGTCCTGGGCACCACTACACTGATGCCACCTTTCTGGTCTTTCTATGTCATTGGTCTTCCAAGACCCAAACTCAGCTCCCATCTCCCATACCCATCTTTCCTGTGTGTTAGAGCCTTCTGTCCCCCTTCAGGAGAGCATCTATGGAATGATATTGTTGGCACCTACCTCTGTCTTCCATGTTCATTCCAAGTCCTCAATTGGAGAACTTAGGGTGGATGTGCTCTTCTTTCCATCCACACACTCCAAATTATGTGGCTGGTCTTCCTCAGTATTCCTGTGCTTTTTTTCACCAGCGCATTCTTCCTTGATGATTGTATCAGTCAGCTTTCCATCACCTATAAGCTCAGCCTCACAAAGCTGTAGAGCATGCACAAATGTAGACAAATTCTTTACCACAATGTAACATGCATGGCCTCTAGTCAAACTCCCAACAGAGACCTCATTACCATTTGAAACCTCCTGGGCCTGGCCATTACTGTCCTCATTCCTATCAAAAATTCTAGTCTTCTGGGCTCTGACTAGAATTTCTCATCAAGCTGAGTTTACAGCATTCTAGGGTTTCTTTAGCCAACATCTCCAAACCTTTCAAATTCCTCCCTCAAACCAGGTCAAAAGGCTTCTGGACTACAGGGTGAGGTATACTCACTGCAATGATCTTTCTCTCAGTACCAATTTTCTGTATAAGTCAGTCTTTTGTTGCTGGCACAAAATTCCTGATACAAGGAAGAGAGGTTTATTTTGGCACACAGTTTCAGAGATTTCAGTCCATGGTAAGCTGGCTCCAAGGCAGAAACATCATGGTAGAGGGGCCTGGTGAAGAAAAGCTACTCTACCCATCACAACCAGGAAGCAGACAGCAGTGGAAGAGGCCAATAAAAATAAGCCCAGGGACCAGATCTAATCCCCAATATCATGCCACATGACCCACCCAGACACACCAAGAAGTGTGCTTTACTAATCTCTCAGGCATTGCTCAAGCCTGTTAAGTTGACAATGAGGATTAATCATCACAATGATCAAAACTGAAAATGTCAGTGAGCCCAGCCAAGAGTTAATCCAATGGTCATCTCCCAGCAGAGACTCTAGCCAATACTGCCATCATGGCAACCCTGTGGCTGCTTTCTTGTACCTGTGGCCCATACATGCCTGCAATAGGAGTGATGCACTACACAGGGCCAGGCCATCTCAATGCAGCTCCGAACTCTCCTGGCCCACCTACATTACCACATTGTTGGTGGATTCAACCACTAATGAATTCATGGTTAAATGTGTTTTTTGGAGGTGAGTCCTGGTAGGACATGGATCACTGCTCCCTTTGCTCTCTGCTTCCTGGCTGCCACAGGGTGAGCACCTCTTCATTGTCCGTGCCCCTCTGCCATCCTATTTCTGCCTTGAAACCAGTACACCACCATTTCAGAGGGGCTGAACCCTCTGAAATAGTGAGCCAAATAAACTGTTCCTTTAAGTTGTGTGTTGCGGATATTTTGTGCCAGCAATAGAAAACTAACTAAGACACACACCTACACCATCTGGTGAGATGATTTCCCTAAAGGTAGATCCCTGAGGAACCTCTGACCAGTGCTCAACATCCCTGGTCACTGGAGAAATGCCGTTCAAAACCACAGCAAGACTTCACCACACCCATTAGGATAACTACTCAAAGCAGCAATAGTAAAGACGAGAACAAACAAGTGTTGATTAGGTTTGGAGAAACTGGAACTCCTGTGTACTGTTGATGAGAATGTAAAATGGTACAACTGCTGTGGAAAAATTTGGCAGTTCCTCAAAAAGCTAAAGATAGAATTACTGTATGGTCCAGCAATTCCACTAATACACACAAAAAATATATGCACTTATACACACCAAAAATGAAAGCAGGCATCAAAGAGATGTTTCTCTACTCACACTCATAACAGCTACTGATGATAGCAGGAAGGGGGAAGCAATCCTGGTGTCCCTCTGTGGGTGGGAGATACAGAAAATACAGTATGTCCATATAGTGAAATAATACACATCTTTAAAAGGAAGGCAATTCTGATCCATACTACAGTGTGAATGGATCTTGAGGATACAATGACCAGTGAAATAAACCAGCCACACAAGGACAAATGCTGCACAGTTCCATAGCTCTGAGAGCCGTGGTGTGGTCTGATGTACAGCTGGAGAGAAGAGAGTGTTGGCTGCCAGAGCCAGGGGTGGAGATGGGACAGGAACATGGGGACTTGTTGTTTGATGGTACAGAGTTTCAGTTAAGGATGGAAAAGGTCAGGAGGTAGAAAGTGATGAATATACTTAATGCCATTTACTATGCTTTGAAATATAGCTAAAATGGTAAATTTTAGGTTTTGTATATTTTACATGTTGTTTTCAAAAAACTAAACCAATCAAGCCATGTGCCCAGTGCAATGCATCCCATCTGCCCACAGGATACACCTTAGTGCAGCTGGAGCCTGAAGTAAGCTGCTTCAACCCTTCCCTGTCCCCCTCCTCCCACAAACAAAGGAGCAGGGCACAGAACAAGCAGAACTGGGGACCCTGGGCCCTGTAGGAGCCAGGACAGCCTGCTCAGAACTATGGCAGGTGACATGCCTGACCCTGCAGAGAAACATGGCAGAAGAGGAACCCCCAAGGTCCCCACCACTTACCCAAGTCCCCACTGCTCAGCCCACATCCCACACCTGGTAGTCCCAGCTGCTTCCTGGGTGCTGTTCCCACTGCACCCAAACACTTGCCTCAGTCCAGTTGGCCCTAGCTTGTCC